CAGCTAATTGTATGAAAAGTATGTCTGTAATATTAGGATTTTCTGAGACAATGAATTTTGGTTTTTCTTTATTTTTTTCCAGTAAGAGGTTTTTAATAGAATTTTTGGACCAAAAAAAAAAAATTGAAATATATCGGGATATATTGTATCGTGACCCCTCAGCCATGATATGTATCGTATCACCAAATTCTTGCCAATACACAGCTCTAATCATTTAACGCATTTATAGAGTTCATGTTTCTAATTGATAGAAACGGCTCAGATGGTAGTAGAGCTCAGGTCCGTGTTGTGTTTACAGACAAACAGGAAGTGACTGAAAACAGGTCAATRTTGGAGCTGTTTGGGTTAAACAGCAGCACATTAAGTCCTCAGTTTGTTCCTCTACAGCTGATTATTTATAAAAATATTTAAACGTAGAAAAGCTGATTTTTGTGACAACTACAGATTATTTTTCAGGTCGACTCAAACTGAAGCTGTTCAAATAAAAGGAACAACTGGGTTTAGGCAGAACCTCCACTCACCAGTCATGGACAAACGAGTTAGGATATAATTAACTTGATTATTTTAAACTAACAGGACAGGTAAGTTATGAAACGGTCTACTCTTTTTAAACGAGTCGTACCTTCAGCTCGTCCTCCAGTTCCACAGCTTTCCTCTGCAGGGCCAGCTTCTCCTGACAACACAAACAGGAAACGTTAAGCTGAAACTCAGAGCTGGTTCTGATAGAACCCAGCTCGACGCGCGGTCTTCACGAGCTCTGGACCTGCGGCGCCGTTTAGGTMAAACCTTTACTGAGCGCAGAGAAAGAAAAGAAACTTACAAACTTCTCCAGCTCCAGCAGAGCCGGTCTGTTGGTGCCGCTCTCCTGGTTCTGAAAGAACAAACAGGAAATGTGTTCAGACTCCAGGTTATAGACGGGTCCTTTCATCTGTTTACTGGACCTCTCAGACAGCCGGGATCAGATCCTTGTGGAGTTTATAAAAAYACTAAATAAATTAAACAATAAAAGTACGACCACCTCGACCTTCTGCTCATTCTCTGCAGTCTGCTGTGGCGGCCATCTTGAATTCTACTAATAAAATTTATTAAGTACTTGTCAGTGAGGCTATAGTTATTAATATTATACACACATATATTTTGTTGCTGTGTTTTTGTTTCTCTCTTGTAGCAGGAGTGGAGGCAGACTATAAATGTGTTGTCTTTTGTTTACTTAATGCATCTCTCATATCTTCTTGTTTCACTTTTCTCCTTTTTCTTTTCTTTGTTTACTTTTTCCGTCTGTGTCCGTTATGAATTAATGCCAAAATATTTTTTAATAAAGGTTTTAACATATATCAAGTGGAGCATCATGGTGAAACACCATCATGCTGCAGTTGTGAAAGTAAATCTGTTGGGCTTCATTTGGACACTCAGACATCAATGTGAGTTTCACAGTACCGGAGAGGACACAGAGAAAAAAAATAAAAGAATTGGGCATTTAAATGATTACATAGAGTTTCATTAAAATCTGCCCTGTGGTTCAGGAAATATTTTGCTAACAGACTCACACGATTACCTGCCTTAGAAGTAGGTGAGTATAATCTATCAACTGATCCTTTTTTTAAATCAGTTTTAAGCCAACAGGTGAGTTTGTTCCTGACAGACAGGTAGGTTAAAGGTGAGCTGACCTCTCTGACCTGTCTCAGTCTCTCCAGCTCCACTTTGTTCTGGCTCAGCTGCAGTTCAATCTCCTGCAACTTCTCCTTCAGAGACATGTTCTCCTGCAGAACCTGCACGTAGAGCTGGAGGAAACACCACAGTTTCATTCACCACAAGCTTTAAGAACGTGTGTGTGTGTGTGTGTGTGTGTGTGTGTGTGTGTGTGCAGAGGAAGACTCTTACTGATCTGTAGTTTGAAGAAGAGTCCTCCAGTCGACTGAACAAAAACATGAGAAATAAAATCAATCCAGGGTTGTTTCAGTTTTTCTTATTGAACCAAATGAATAAAATATTTTTGTCTGATTTTATCTTAATAAATGTTTGACTCACTCTGTGTGGTTGTTGTTTGTTTCTTCCAGTTGAGCGTCATCGTTCTGAAAAACAAAGATTATTTTATAACGTATGTTTTTCTGCTTCTTTTCTTCATGAACTTAATTTTTTGGACAGAAAAATGTAGCGAAACTGAAAATACAAAACAAATGTTTGTAATAATATAACAAATGAAATAAAACTAAACTCTGGTTATTTCAGCTGTCAGTTCTGGACGTGTGTAAGAAAGTGTCAGAACCATCATCATCATCATCATCATCACCTGATTAAATAATCTTAAATAAAAGCCCAGCTTCCTTCTGTTTATCTGCATGTGAGTGTTTGAAGGTAAGCTCCTCCTCCTCGCCGACTGGGAAACATCAGATCTTCTAACTTCCTGTTTCCTGACAGAGTCCCCACCCGATGCTTTACCTGTTGTAYAACTTAAACCTAATGAACCGTTGTGATTTTTCCTCTCTTACATCTCTGGGCTGAACGATGCWGGTGGAGTGCCTCTCCTTCCTCTGCCGCCGCCGGTCCTTCGCTCCCAAACGTTTGTCTCCGTCCGACTCAGCCGGCTTCACCGGGTCGGTGTCTGAAACCAACAGGGAGGACAGAGAAGCTGAGTGAGCTGACAAATATACAGACGTGTTTATTTTGTGGCCAAACTGTGAGAGATCACCACAAACCAGCATCTGTCTTTTAGCTTTTATTTCACAGAAACTTTGGTTGCTTGGCAGAGGCGTCACTAGGCCCATAACAATTAGCTCCAGCCCAAAGCTAACAGCAAAAAGTCCCATGTAATTAATGAGCCAAGTGCTCCCTGTTTGACAAATAAAACCTGGTTTGCACACTGAGAAAAATAAGAGTTACACAGAACTCTTTGTTAACTAGTTCCAGGTGTTTACAGTCACATCTTTTCCTTCTGGAGCACCAGCTGTGTTTCTTCCTGTACACATGGCTGTTTGCACACTGTGAAACAGGAGCTGAGCTTATTCACGTCTGAATATCAGCAGTGGATAATAATAATAGACTAATAATAATTACTTCAGCATCCCTAGTGACCTGTAGGAGTCAGGGCAGAGGAGCACAGAGAGGGAGACAGAAAACTCTTCTGTAAGGGTTAAAGTCTAACGCAAGAGTCACCAACGCCTGAGTACAGGCACGGTATAAAAGTAGTGACCATTTTATTTTATTTTATTCATTTCATTAAAAACAAAAAAGTTAACATTACAGAAAATACAAAACTTCTAAATTTTCACAGATTTATCTAAAATAGTCTTAATGTTCAGTTCTGGAGTATTTTTTTATTGATGTTAAAATATTATTTGGCCTTGAATGGATTTAAAAATAACTATTAGAAAAAAAATCCTCTAAATAAATGTTACTTTGTACGTATGTACATACATACAAATGTGCGTACGTACGTATGTGCGTAAATACGTACGCACATACATCCTTGTATTTGCATCAAACTGAGGACTTTGTATTGACTTCCATTCATTTTTGTAMCTATTTATGCCTAACCCAGTCATGTTCCCTAAAACTAACATTACTGGTCTATAGCTAACTCTAACCTGAACCAGAACTTAACTCACACCATACCTCTAAACATAACTAGTAAAGCACAGCAAAGCTGCAAACAAAGTGAGGACATTGAAGAGGTCCTCACTGTATATCAAAGACCTCACTTTGATAGTAACTATGGTGCAAATGGTCCTCACTCTGTAGTAAAAACAAGGACACACACACAAATATATAATATATTAAATATACAAAAATTCGGTGGGTCTCCTGGAGGCTCAGCCTCCCTTGTCCTTAAAACCCAGTGACACCCTGCAGCTTGGAAGCTAAATATCTAAAGTGTCTGGATGAAAACTGTAMAAACATTTTCTTTACAAACATCTGAGTTCTCAGAACGACAGGTTCGTCYGTGTTCCTCCTGAAACTGAAACTGCAGAAGGGTGGGGGGTTAAACAGTGACCACAGCTTGAAGAATAAAGATGAGACAATGTGTTTTACAGTAGAGAAGATGAGGGTGAGAAACAACGCCTACAAACTGCTTCACACATTTGATCTTTACTCAGTGCAGAGAAAGAAAACTTAAAAATAAACTCTGACAACACGACTTCCTGCTCGGACGCGGCCCCAACAAGCAGCAGAGACGCCACTGGCTGAAGCAGCTCACCCCTTTCAGCAGGCGTTATGGTGACGATGGGGCTCACAGACTGGACGTTTCGAGCTGGAGGATCTGCAGTTTTACCCACGTTTTTCTCCGCCTCCTTCAGGTCGGTSAGCGTCACACCCTGCGGGGACAGAAACACTCAGAAGCTGCTGTCGGGACGAGAACGAACCATCAACACATCAAATATTCAGTTTTTCAGCCCTGGAACATTTTTACAGACAGCAGACTGATGGGTTTGTTTTTCTGACATAAAAAGGGGAAGTGTTGTTTGTCATCATGTTAAAGTTCAGAGCAGTTTGAGTCACACACGGTAAAGACAAAACTGCAGTGGAGAAACAACAGAAATAACCCAGTCAGCTGAACTGAAACTGTAATTTCAAAACAAGAACYAGAAACAAAAAAACTCAAGTTGTTTTGATTAAAATCTGCTCATTTGTTCTCCTTCAGTACTAAAGACAAAAACAACCTGCAGGATCACCATGATTTTACAGGAAGTACCTGCGTGGACCTGCGGGACTGACGCAGCAGCCGAGACCGAGCCTTCCTCTGAGACTCGGACTCTTCGTCTCTGACCGGAGCCTGAAACCTGAAGAGACAAACCAGTTGTTATTTTCTGGCATCGGACCGACGGGACGGTCAGGAAAACCCAAGCAGAACTTACTGTTTGGGCTGCTGCTGTTTCTTGTCTGCGTTCGGACTCTCTGCGTCTCGGCTCTGAGGCGTGGGTTGGACTCTGGCGGTGCGGCTTGCCTTGTCCTCCTCCTCGTCTTTGTCCTCAGGTGTCTGGACCATGTGAGAAAACAAGTTGAATWAAGTCAGAAGATTTAAAGTTCCTGCTGAGCCGAACATCAGGGTTTTTGTCTCTGTGCTCAGGGGGTCATATAAAGTCAACACAGAGACCCCAGGCTGGAGGTGAACATGCGTACTTCCTAACCACTGCACACCCGTGTCACTGGGTTTAGTTTTCCCCACAGAATGAAAAAAACTGAACACGTTTGTTTCACGTTTGTTTCCTGTGGTCAGAGAGGTGGTTTGGAAGAGGTTTGACCGTTGTTATCCAGGAAGTAGACTGAGCCACAGGTGGTTTCATTACAGTGGGGAAAATAAGTATTTAGTCAGTCACCAATTGTGCAAGTTCTCCCACTTAAAAAGATGAGAGAGGCCTGTAATTGACATCATAGGTAGACCTCAA